GCTATATACTCTAGTGGGATGAATGGTGGGTTCTGGCGACAGCACATTGTGGGGGGTGTGGAGTCTGACAAAAGAAAGAGTGGGAATCATGAGATGTGATTAAAGTGGGCTAGTGGAGAGAAAGGAAGAAGCAGTGTGGCTATTTTCCTACAACCTCTGCTAGTGCGTTGATGGAGGTTTCAATTGGTTGAGATCCGGCGGGCGGTCAAGGCAAGGTAGCCGCCCGCCGGAAGGCGAAGAACACCAAGAGCTTAACCTATAGCTCTGATACCATGTAAAATAACTGATGTATTATTATTGATTGCATTGTTCTATTGATTGATGTATCTGTATATTACAATTCCTATATATATAGAGGAGAAGATGGTAGTAGGTGTAGGTGGTAGTGGAGGTGGTAGGTGGAGTGGGTGGTAGTGGAGGTGGTAGGTGGAGTGAGTGGTAGTGGAGGCAGCATTGATGGGGACATCAGTATGTACAGCCTCATCAAGCATCCGAGAGAGGCATCGAAGAGCATTTTGGGTTGCTAGAGATTGCATCATTCCATCACTGGGCCAAATGGAACTGGCGTCCCCACCATTTGTTGGACAGATCTTCAGGTCCAAAAACTCAACATCAATGATGAAGCGACCAAGAAAGGTGGAATCAACAGGCCAGACAAAGTCATCACTAGTCCGCAGCAGTCTCTCATGAATTGGAGAGATGTAGAGTTTGCGATTAGCGCCGGTATTGGAGACTCGAAGAACAAATCTAGCGATGGGAGGGAGAGACTCGAAGAACAAAGATGTGTGTGTATGCCGAGAGGGAGAGACTGGACCAGTGATGGCCACAACGGGGATGCTGTCGAGCAAGGCGTCGGTGAGGCCGCTGACTTGTGGGTGGCGTCGGGGCCGGAGGTGGCGACTTGTGGGTGGCGCCGGGACCGGAGGTGGCGATGCAGACGCTGGGGAGGGAACGGCGTCGTTTGCGAGCTGTGAGACCTCTGCTGGTGCGTTGATGGAGGTTTCAATTGGTTGAGATCCGGCGGGCGGTCAAGGCAAGGTAGCCGCCCGCCGGAAGGCGAAGAACACCAAGAGCTTAACCTATAGCTCTGATACCATGTAAAATAACTGATGTATTATTATTGATTGCATTGTTGTATTGATTGATGTATCTGTATATTACAATTCCTATATATATATAGAGGAGAAGATGGTAGTAGGTGTAGGTGGTAGTGGAGGTGGTAGGTGGAGTGAGTGGTAGTGGAGGTGGTAGTGGAGGTGGTAGGTGGGTTGTAGTTTACATTTTACAATTTACATTTTACATTAACATTGCTGAGCCACCAATTCACAGGCAGAACATTTTTGTTTAGTTGAGTTTTTAGAGTTTATTTTCTAAAAAAAAAAAAATTAATTAATTTTCTAAAAATAACTCATTATTTTTATATGGCCATAAATAATTTTTGAAAGTTAAAATTCTCATTTTTGGTGTTTATTTTGTCAAATTAATTTCTAATTTTTCAAAAAAATAGCTGTGAGATTGGCTGAGTAGTAAAGACACTTGAAGATAAAATCTAAAATCTCGAGTTTGAGTTTTCAAAGGATCACTAGAGATTTTTGCACGTAAGTTATTCAGACACTTGATTATAAAATAAATAAATAAATAGTTTCTAATTTTTTAAAACAGACAGAACTCACATCCAAACCCTAGGAGTAATAAATATAATTACCCAAATTTACAAAAAGAAAAAGAAAAAGAAAAAGAAAAAGAATTAGAATTGAAGTTAAAGACAGAAAAGGATTATATATTTGGATAGTTGACAGCTTTGTTGCCATGAGAAACATGAAAATGCTGAAAACTCCGCTTTTAAAAGTGAGGTGTCTCACGTGGAAGTTCGGCAACTAAAGATCTTTTTATTATTATTTGATTAATGGTTCATTGACATAATTTTCTTTTAAAATCTTTTGAATGTTTTTTTGACAGGTAAGAAAAAAGACTTTGGCCCGTAAAAAACTATTTTCTTAGCAGTTAAAGTCTTTTTCGAAAGAAATTCGAGGAAGAAAAAAATTATATATATTCAACATTGCTGATTATTATTTAGTTAATATTATGATGTTTCCAAGCAGCTAGCTTATTTTTATATTTTCACTTATTGACTACACATTATAACTAGCTAGTGGGAAGTTAGTACACCACAATTTTAACAATTTTGACTGCTTTTTCGGAACAAGACGAATAGTGTTGTATACGTATTACGTACATCAAATCTGCTTCGAGATCTTGTTTGATTTCTTGTTTCAACAATGATAGAGACCACTAATTTTGGAACTCTAAAAAGACCACTAATGACATGGCACTCAATAAAAAAAGAAAAAAAATACAACACTAAGGCTAAAACATCAAATCATTCCTGTTGGGACCCACTGCGACGTCATTAGTGATAGCACTAATTAGTGCTTTCACTCATTTTCGTTCTTGTTTTGTTATATTCAAATAAATAAATAAATAAATAAAATAAAATGAAGAAGAAGTTATTTTTTAATTTTACAAGTTAAATCCAAGATTTATGCTTGATTTTGCTAAAATAATAAAATGTAATAAAAAGTAATTTTTTTTTAGAAAATCTCATTAGAATTGTGCACATGTGAAAATTGATTCATTTCATAATTTAACTTCTCAAATTTCACTCCCAATGATGTGGAATTAGAGGGTCAAAATGAGAGAGAGGAGAGTGAAGACTGCTTCATGTGAGTGTCAGCCATATCATTAGGAGTGAAATTGGAGGTCTCATCAATTAGGGAATTTTGCGGGACTGCTGTGCAAATACCAAGCATTGAAGCCTAGAGATGAATTTGAATTGTGATATTCTGGTGATCATAGGACTGAGGTTATAAAGTGATAGAATTAGCAAGGCCAAGGAAGGAATTTAGGTTAAAAAAAAAAAAAGAAAGAAAAAAACTATACATCGTTGCCTGGGGGTTGCAATAATACCATCAATGAGCACCTTTTTTTTCCAATTGAAAAAAAAAAGAAGGTAGGAATTTAGGTAACTGATGGGTTTAAATTTTTGGATATCAATACAATACATGAACCCTGCACTTGATATTTAATGTTGGTTTTTTGTTCTATTGTTTGCCGGTAAAAATTAATTCAATTAATGAGAGAATCTCACCGAGGTCATGCAAATATCACATGAAAAATCAGATTCATACAAGATATTTTATAAAAATGACGTGGTAACGCTATTCCTTTTTAAAATGAAAGGTGCATATTGATCCACATCATTAAACATGAAAATTTTGTATAAATTTTCCATTTTGTATTCATGTCTTCATTAATCTCTCCAAGTTCTCCCTTGAAAGTGAAATTTGTTTGCCAAAGTTTTCAAAAGGCAATGTTAGCTTTTTTGTAAAGTGTTTTATGCCTAAAGCAATACATAGCCCAAAGCAACACAACCCAAAGCTGGACAGGCAAGTATAAATTTTCTATTAGTTTTATTGTTGATTATGTGATTCTCTCTACTCTATATAGCTGATTCAATCACTTTTATGCGCATGGAGGTAGCTTCTTCATAGTTTTAATACACCTATGAAGCTTAATAATTTATTAAAGAACTAATAAATTGAACAGTTTACTAGGGTAAAAAACATCACAATAAAATAGATAATTCAGTATGTTTTAATACTTTTCATAGAGTATATTTGTTTTGAGAAGTTGGTTAAAAGTTAATTTTTTAGTTTTTTTTTTTTTTGGTTTTTTTCGAAAAAAACTTATAAAAAGAATAGAGAGGTAATGTGACAAAAAATAGATTAAAAGCCAAAAATTGACTTTTAGCCAACAAAAAAAAATTTATAAAAAGAATAGAGAGGTAATGTGACCAAAAATAGATTAAAAGCCAAAAATTGACTTTTAGCCAAGTTCCCAAAGGCTTAAAAATTGTGTGTTCCAATATATAATGATTAACGAACATCTGGGATGATTGCATTTACAACATTAGTTATGATCCTTAAATATTGTTTTTGTTTTTTTTTTCCTTTTTTTGTTTTGTTTTTGGATTGTGTGAATTATGTAATAAATTTGCCAACTCTTGAATTATTAATATTAGAGATTTGTCTCACGTTGTCTCTCTGAATCACTTAATCTTAAATGACATAATGTAGAAACTTTTATAATGTTTATATTAAAAGTTTCAAGTAAGTTGAAAGTTAATAATCAGATATTTGCATACTCTTGAATTATTAATGTTAGAAATTTGTCTCACGTTGCCTCTCTAAATCATTCAATCTTAAATGACATAATGTAGAAGCTTTTATAACGTTTATATTAAAAGTTTCAAGCAAGTTGAAAGTTAACAATCAAATATTTGCAGACTCTTGAATTATTAATGTTAGAAATTTGTCTCATGTTACCTCTCTAAATCACTCAATCTTAAATGACATAATGTAGAAGCTTTTATAATGTTTATATTAAAAGTTTCTAACAAGTTGAAAGTTAACAATCAGATATTTGTAGACTCTTGAATTATTAATGTTAGATATTTGTCTCACGTTATCTCTCTAAATCACTCAATCTTAAATGACATAATGTAGAAGCTTTTATAAGGTTTATATTAAAAGTTTCAAGCAAGTATAAAGTTAATAATCAAATATTTGTTTCAGTTTTACCCTTGCTATCCAATAATTTGTTTTTGGAAAAGTCTGTGTTTCCATAATAAATAATTAGAAAATTACACAAAATGTTAGATCTAAGGTTTATATTGAAAGTTTTGTTGTGAGCCATACTATGAATAAATCTGGGCGTTTGATTGTACAATTTGAATAATTTTCTAGTTGTTTTTTCTCGGTTAGTAATTTACTACTAATTTTATTTTATTTTTAAACTTATTTATGCCTCATAGTGTAAAATAAATAAAAAATAAATAAATGTAAGCAGTTTCATAAGCATCAAACAACCTATATTCGAAAAATCCTCCAATCATTGGCAATAAAAGAAATTTTGGACTCCATGAGGCAATGAACCATCTGTGATCTGTCCATGATGTGAAAATACAGAGTGTGGTTAGTTTGATAGTTTGTCAATTCTTTTAGGAAGTCTGACAAGGTTGCTCAATGAACTTCACTAATAGTAGCAGAAAAAACAAAGAAAGAAAAAAAAAAACATACATACAAACCTCCAAGCAAGCACAGAGAAGATTCATTCAATCAGTTAAAAGTGCATCATTTCAACCACCTCCTAACACCACCACTAGTTGAAGGTGAAGAAGCCTCATCACCAAAGCACATATTAGGCCTCTGCACCATTCCAAACTGTTCTCTGTAAATGCTCTTCCAACTTGGACTCCTCAAGTTATTACACTCAAATGAAACATCACTATCACTAGTCCCAACTCCATTGGTGTACGCCTCTCCTGGAACAGGGAACGAAAGGCGTTTCTTCGCCGAGCTCAGTTTCTCTCTCTCTGGTGTCAATGCTCTCTGCCTCGGCGCACTCTGCGATCGAATCCGAGCCTTGGCAGACACAGTTGCAGCCATGTAATTAGGCACAGAGCGCAATGTCGGCGTCTGAGCTTTCGGGTAGTCCCTCTCTGCTCTCAGGCAGCGCGGACTAGCCGCGTTTACTTGAAGAGGCTTTGTTTTGTTTTGATGTGTCCTCTGAAGGGGTGAGTGAACTGAGTGTGGACATGGTTCTTCTTGTTGTTGGTAGTAATAGTAATGGTAATTTTGATTTTGTGGTTTGTGAAAATTGGGGGCTGTGTAAGAGTAAGGCCTGTAGGTGTCTATTTCAACAGTTTTTATTGCTTCTCTTTGATCACATGAAGCTCTGCCTATCATCCACTGATCTAGCAATCTGGGTTTCTCTTCTTCTAGCTCTTCATTGCCTCTGAATAGGTTCTTATCAGATCTCCACATCTGATTATGAGAAATGATTTTAGTTCTGAGCCAAAGCAGCTAAAAGGAAATTAGAAAGAAGAGAAACAGAGAGATCAAAACCTGGTGAGAGAAGGCATAAGCAAGGGTCTTCTCATCTGCAGCATCATTACTACTATCTCTGGACTGTGTTGCAGAGTTGCAATGGCAATCAAAACATAGAAGCAGCTTAATTAGGCATAAACTATAAAGCAAGAAAGAATTAATTACTCACAAGGGACTTTTTTCTGTCTGAGAGGTGAGATCCCCACAAGCTGTTGGGATCACTGAACGCAGAATCTATGCTTAGCCTCTTACGCTGATCGCGCACTCGAGCTTGTGCTCGAACCAGTGCTTGCATGCATTGGAGAGTCATTTTTGCTCGCTTTCGGACATTGTGACCTCTCACTAAGGCTTGTAGCTTCACCAGCCCCTTAAGCGCACGCAGAGCTCTCCTTGCCTGCACAATAACACTCATAGTTCTCACTAGAACTCGAAAAATGATAGTTTCACCGAATTAAAACACACAGAAAGAAAGAAAGAAAAAAAACAAAAAATGCACAAAAAGTACAATGTGTGACTAAAATCAATCTTCAGTGCATTTCACAATGCACTTTCTGTGTTTTAATTCTGTGCATGTAGTAGTGCTGTTGATGAGACTTATTACCAGATAGCCTCTGAAGGAAGTCTGGATAGCTATGGCAGCATAGTGCTCTCTGATGAGAATGGAAGGCCTGGTTAGCCGAATGACCTCCACGGCAGCTTGGGCTGTTGCAACTGCTGCCTCTGCGGCTGCTGTTGTTGCCATAGCCATCGCAATAGCACGTCTTTGCTCCGCTTCGGCAGCCTCAGGGACAGGATTTTTAGGCACACAAGTCTTAGCAGTATTACTAGTAGTTAATTTCTTAGCTTCATTGTGCTGTATCGTGGTTTCGTGATGCGATGGTTTGCAAAAAATCCATCTTCGCTTTCCTCTCTTCTGCAAAAAATTTCATTTACAGAAATCAACATGGGTAGAAAATGATTTACAAACAGAATTTTTGTACAGAAAACACATCGAGAATGTTGTTGTAGCAAGATTGTTGTTACCTTCTCTTCCTCTTCTTGTTCATTGTCTTCTGATCTCCTTCTGCTGCTACTTTTCTGGGTGTCTTTAGTGGGAGACCTGAAAGCCTTTTTCACTGCATTCAACCAAGAGCTTCCTCCAATCTTTCCCATGATTGAATTAAAAAAACAGAGCTTCAATTAACAGTTGAGCTACATTTACAATGAAACCCAAGTTGGGAAAAGACCAGTGGGAATTTTGTTCACTAAATGCAAGAAATGCGAGAAAGAGAGAGAGTGATAATGAAATCAAGAAACAGGGAACAGGATCTAACAAGGAACTGACAAATCCCCATTAAATTTGGAAGAGAGCAGAGAGCTTGGCAATTATATGCAGGAGCAGAGAAGTAAAGAAGAGAGAGCATATGTTCTGCCAAAAGAATGTTTATTCTTTTGTGACATTTTAATAATGGTAGCTTTGTCAGAAATTTGACACAACACGACAGACTATGTGACCTCGAAAATGCAGAAAGCTGAGAGAGAGAGAGAGAGAGAGAGAGAGAGAGGGTTTCCTTATACTTATGTAAAAAGAGTAGTGTTCTGTAAAAATAACAGACGAACTCTCATGGCTTCACATGTTATGAGCTGTGGTTGAGAGAGAGAGAGAGAGCAGTGGTTATGTTTTGTAGGTGTGCATTGTATATCATATGTATGAACATTTATTTTGGTTTGAGTTATATATTTTTATGAGATAATTTATGTAAATTTGTAAAAATTTATGTAATTTTATAAATTTCAAAATTTTTATAAATAAACTTACGTGAATTTGTGTCAACTTATGTATTTTTACAAGATTATTTATGTAAATTCGTAAAAACTTACGTCATTTTTTGTAAATTGTGCGTGTGCAACATTGCATACCCAAACACTTCCTTGTTTGTTTTGGGGGATGGGTATATGGAAAAGACCTACTAGAGAAGAGAGTTCGGTATTTGTGGCTCTTAATTCGGTTCCATGTTGATAATTCAAACTATTCAATGTATAGAACTCGTTGAGTATATTATCCTTATAAAAAATGACGTTGATTGGATATTGATAATCACTTGATTAGATCGTATTTCTATCGCAATTTACTTTGAAAATTATTTTGAAAATGCAATCTCAACGAATTCTATATATTAAATCGTTTGAATTATCGATATGAGCCCGAATTAAGGCTCACCAAAGCCAAACTGCACCCGGTCCTATAGAGAAAGTGAACAGGATGGAGAACAATTACAGTTATTGTACATGTTTGGTATTGTTGATAAGGAAGTTCTCGGATGAATTTTTCAAAATATTGCCTGCTAAAACTTCACATTTTGGAAGGTTATTAATATGGTAATAATCTTATTTTATTTTATTTTTTATACGTAAAATATTTTGAGCCAATTTACACACAGTAAGTTAAGTCTTTATAGTTCGAACAAACTTTTTGAAACATGCTTATTCTCTAATGTTTGTGCTCCCAAAAGTTCTTCTAATGAGAAAAGTCAAACTTTAGATCTTAGAGGGAACAAATTTCTTAGTCCCAGGTCTTACCAAATTCTTGGGATTAATGTGGTAATAATGTTAAGAATCATCATTTGGACAGAAGGGCCTAGGCTTAGGGTTAAAGCTATCTAGCCCGATGAGCTCTCAACCAATTCAAGTTTCTACCCTAGGTAAGTTGGACATGCCGGGATAAAGTTTGAGTTGGACCTAGATCTAGAGTTTGAAGTTTGGTTCATAAGAGGTAGCCCGTCAACCTAGCTAGCAAGCTTGACAAAATATATGAAAAAATAGAGATTTTTTTTTTTTTTTTTGAGAAAATTGATAATAAACCCAATCTAAGGAAGATATAAAGTATTAGATTCAGTAAATATTTTTTGTTAGTGAAAAATTGATGTTTTGTAAAATAATAGTGAGAAATCCTAGAAGATATTTTGTTTTCAATTTTACCCATTGACTTTTTTTATTTGTTGGACTTTTTGTGACTATCTGTTCAAATTTATATTCATCTATTCAATTTTTTTGTCTATATGTTCAAATTCACATCTATTTGCTCGAATTTTTTGACTATCTGTTCAATTTTTTCCTTATCTTTTTAATTTTTCTCCTAAATTCTATCTATCTATTCAATTTTTTTACCTAAATTCTATTTATCTGTTTAATTTTATATCTATCTGTTCAAATTTTTCCTTAAATTCTATCTATCTATTCAAAAATTTGATTACCTGTTCAATTTTTCTCCTAAATTCTATCTATATGTTCATTTTTTTAGCTCTAAATTCCATCTATCCATTCAATTTTTTTCTGCCTGTTGAAAATCTATGTCAATTTTTTGTTTCTCTATTGCAATCATCATCATCAACATTAATTTTTTTTCCAGATCTGTCTCATACATACATACATACATATATACATACAACAAATTAATTAATTACATACAGACAAACGAACTTAGAGAAAATCTGGTTATCTAATACTCAAATAGCAGATTTCTTATTCTTTTTCTTTAACTTTTCCTGAGAACCAAATGCTACATAACTATTTATTCAATAACTAATTTCAATTTAACAAAAGTTTCATCATCATATATCAAAAGTTTCGAGAGGACATTTGTATTCATACGTATGAACATCTCTATATACGTATATACATGTTTCAACAAGCTCAATCACAAATTAGAAACCTTAAGATACAAATGTCCTCACAGATTAGAAGATCAAAAACCAAAATATTTATAATAAAAAAAAATCTAGAATCATTCGTCTATAAACCCTAACTCCTCATAGATCTGGACACATCGTGCATAGATCAGATCTATCGACATCTTTCTCTCATTAATGAGAACGAATTCATCATCCAAATCTATTCAAATTCAACAACAATAACAAACAAAAAAATGATTTTATTTGTTAAATTTTATTTAAGGTTCGATCTGTTGAGACAGAAAGAGATTGATCTGTTAAAATGTTTTTATCTGTTCAATTTTTTTTTACAATAAAAACAATCTAGATCATTGGTTCACAATCAACTAATTTCAAAACACACACACACACATAGGCATTTTTAGCCTTACAATTTGTTGTTCTTTGATATAATGTTTGATCGGCCAAGGGTGAAGAAGCCACAAGCCAAGGTTCACGTTGCGAACTTCCTCATCGCAAGGCATTCCAGTCTGGCCTGCCACATGTGCCAGTCGCCGACGCCGTGGAATGCTTCCGGTGCAAAGCTCGAGCCAACGGTCCTGGTCTGCGAAGCTTGCATGGGTGGCTGTAAGGGAGTGAAAATGATGTTGATGAAGATTAGCATTATGTGATGAAAGAGAATATGGCGTAGCAGAGCAAACCATAGAGAATAGAAAGAAGAGGGAGAGAGAGAGAGAGAGAAGCACTACCACTGACAGATCTAATGTAGAGATCTCAGATCTAACACGATCTAAAGGAGATAACAGAAACAGAAGATAGAGACAGCAAGAGAATGTGGTATTGGGAGAAGAAACCGATCGAGATGAAGAAGAGAGAGAGAAGTATGTTCTAGCTATGAGACAAGAGATAGTGGTGACAGAAGAAGGCAGTGGTGAGAGACGATGGTATTGGGAGAAGAGATCGATCGAGATGAAGAAGAGAGAGAGAGAGAGAGAGAGAGAGAGAGAGAGATCTAAGATTTGAGCACCACGGCGGTGAGATCGTTGTGAACAAAGCACCACAGCGGTGATATTATGTTGGACAATCTTCACTGTATTTAAAAAGATTAAATTCTGTTGTGTACATAACAACAACAAGAATAAAAGAAATAGAGAAAATGAGAGAATTCGTTTGATTACAAAAATCAAACTCGAAATAAAAATAAATAAATAAAACTACAGATTTTATTCTGTTACAAAAACAAAATTAAAATCTGATTAAAAACAAATAAAGACAGAATAAAATTAAACAACTTACTTGGTTAATTTATTTGAATAACTTTTCTGATCAAGTCCAGTCATCATTTTCGTAGGTCAAGCTAGCCTGACTTGGTCGGATGCCAACCCTTTATGTTATACATAAATAAATTTTGTATGAGCTTTTTTTTATCATTAGACACAAAAATAATAGTCACATTAAGAAATACACATAAACCCATGCTATTATATCTAATGAAAGGAAAATAGGTGAAAAATTGTGACAACCCTCACTACTGATTAGTGCTACTCTATGATTAAGCATGTTAATTGACTGACTGACTGAATTACTACACCGATTGATTGATTGTGCTAGTTTGAATGCAATTCTATCTGTTGATTGTTAAATTATCTGTTCATGTTTTATGTTTTAAACTGCAAATTGGAGGCTTTATCGGCGGCCGAACCAGAAATTGATTAGCATTATGTGCTAATTAGAATTTATGGAATTTTATGGTATATTTACCTGAAATGTGATTTGGTATGATTAAATTAGATTAAATAGCATTGAAGCACAAAAGTCCAAGTATTTACCATAATGCCATGTTAGTGGACCACTTAGGCAACACATATTGAAGCCCTATTACATTCAAACAAAACATTTGTTCAGTCATTCTTGAGCCCTCAACCGACTAAGAGAGAGAGAGAGAGTGAAAGAATTGAGTTGTTCTTGAGAGTTTTAGCTTGGAATTTGAAGAATCATAGAAGAGATTGCCTACTTGAGCTTCTAATCTTATAATTGGAGACTTAAGGTAGAGTTTATACCTTCTTGTTCATGAATTCAAGTCATTTTGTTGCATAGCATGGAAGTCTAGATATTAAAGACATGAATTAGCTTCATATGTTGAATTAAGAGCTTAATCCATGCGTGCATGTTGCCATTCTTGAGTTTTGAAGTTAATGTTCATGAAATTCCACATGCATGTTTATATTTTTGCAATAGACCATGAATTCATCTTGTTTTTAAGGAAATTGGCTCATTAGAGCATGTAATTGAAGCTTTGATCTTGGTTAAATACTTGCATGTCACATTAAAGCTATGTTCTTGAAATTTGGTTCAAAATTGTGTTTAATTAAACTACCCTTGGGCTTTGATTTCTCAAATTGATCTTCAAAACATGTTATACTATAAGTTTTAAAGTGTTTTCCACAAAATTAGCCCAAAAGGATCGAATTTGGTATATTGAAACTTGTTTTTGAGCTTGAGGTTCAAATATGGAAATTCCAAATTTTGGACTCTCGCTCGAGCGGAGTAACTGGCACTCGAGCGTGAAATTCATGCATCTAGCACTTTACACAGTTTTACAGTCCGCTCGAGCGGGGTATTGGACGCTTGAGCGAGGACTTGTGTCACACGCTCGAGCGGGTATCGAGCGCCCAATCGAGCGTGATTTTCGTACATCCAGTACTTTTGGCATGTTCTACAGTCCGCTCGAGCGGGGCAACTCGTGCTCGAGCGGAGTATTTTGTTTGCCTGTACGCTCAAGCGGGTAAACCTACGCTCGATTGGAACCTCTGTTTTCTGAAAATTCTGAAAATATTTTTAAAGTGCATCTTTGCATCCTCATTCCATCCTAGGCATTCCTAGGCCTAGTTTAAGGCATCTTAATGAGAATATTGATATAGAACCACACCGAGTCAAGATAGGGATTATGTTATTATTTTTTCCAACTGTGTAGCTTAGTGTGTGTTCACTCTGTAACTGTGTAGGGTTGGCATCCGAGGACGCG